CCACACGTCAGATCACACACATCCCTGGTGAACGGCGAAGAAGTGCGACCTCATGGCCCATATCTGCAGCCCTAAGCCGCACCTGTTCGCCTGTCTCGACGGACAGTCTTTTTTGGAAATAGAGGAGACGCTCTCTGAAGAGCTGGCTTAGGAAAATGCGGAAACCTCATGGGTCAAACGGTACGGTAAGATGGGACGGGTCGCTCGCCAAGATGGGGAATTGTATTGACTGGTCCTACTTTCGACACACATTAGTCTCAAACTCTGGACCGCGTTATCCCGCACCCTTGACACGCTCCACGCTGCAGGCGAGCAACAACGAATTAAAGCTAATTGCTTCTCTCGATTGGGCACTCCTTGTTGGGTAATCCCCAGTAGAGGATTCCGTATTTGGCCGTGAGTGTGGTCGTATTGTGCTGAAGAAAAATTTATTTTAATCAGGTTGATTTTTCTGCTTCACGGACGTTGTAAAAAAAAAGGGGGGGGGGTGGTCGTGCTTGCTCATTGTTGGGAGGAGGGGGGTCGTATTTACTTTCTGGCCTTTCTGGGAGTGTGTTGGGGCGGTTGACTTGATGTTTCATTGTGTAGTATATACCTTCCCCCCTCGCTCGACAGCGAAATTTTTGAGAAAAAAGTAGAAAGAAGTTTCGCAAAATTTCAAAAACAAGTGACGAGTTCAGTGGAAAATCTGAGGATTGGAAGAAGGGCGGGGGGGGCCGTCATAAAAACCATCTCGTACCAACCTCCAGAAAAAAGGGTGGGGATCGTACGGGCTCGACTAAAATCCCCAACCAATGATGTGCCCTGGCTCATCGTTTTACACCATTCCAGGAGAAGCGATGGAAAAAGCTTGAACAAGCAAACAAATTAAGTACTTCCATTTTTTTTACAATTTCACAATCTCACTGAGATCCCCTGCTCTGTTATCTTGCAGTTCTATTCCCCAAACAGGGAGTTTGGTTAGGTCCTGTTTCAACTCATAGTCGAAAGCACAGACCAGGTCTCTCGTATGGGCGGAAACAACCAACCATTGCATCTTTCCTATTGGTGCACTCCTCCCTCCACGACGATAAAGAGAAGGAGCAGACCAATGATGAAGGCACAGTGATTCTCCGTCTTCGCTCATTAGCGTGGATTGCAGCGCCGAACAGTCGTATCCATTTTAGTGGTATATGCCTCAACCCGCCCCTTGTGAACAACCCTGACCAGACAGTACAGACTTGTCTGCTAGGATAAAAACACTGACTTGAACATCGGCTGTCCACCGAAAAACATTGCATAAGCCAAATACGCACTCAAAAACCACTGTCATTCTGATTGGGAGTCGAATGAGTGGCGTATCTTAAAAAAAGAATGATAAACGCCAAGCAATTCTTCCACTACTGCATCTACCCAAAACGGTACCCCGGGGTCAAAATTACTAGCACTCCGTCTATAACTGTGTGAAGCATGTGGAAAAAGCAAAAAAAAACGAAAATTGTAAACAAGAGTCAAAAAGAGACCCGTACACAGTGGAGAGAAGGCTCTCGCTTTGGCCATCTTCGTGAGAACCTTTTCGCGAAGTTGGTGGCCATTCGACTAAATGTGGAATTGACCCGATCTGCTTCGATGCTGACAATCGCACACACGATGACGTTTTCTCGAAAGACTTCTAAAAAAGATGAATCATCTCCAAGAATCTTTGAAGCATAAGGAACTTTTTCAAAAACTTGGATCAGTAGTCACAGCAAGCGCAAAAATATGGAAGTTATTCGTCGGTATCTAGATTTTAACTATTAGGTTGGACGGAAAGTCCTGCGACACTTTGACCAAATTTTCGGACTAAATTTTCCTTCACTAAAAGACATCTCCAATCTACAAGGTAACCGCAGTTGATGACTAGGACTAGTGCCCTTCTTTTGCACAGCTTCTCATTTCCATTCTCATAGAACTACGGCAACTATGATGAAAAGAAGAGGTGGACCTCATTTTCGAGTAGACGTCGATTTTCGGAATTTTTGCTTTCTAAAGGATGCGTAGGGA